CTTCCGGCAGGGAAAGAGCCGCTCCCGCCCTCGCCCTCCGCGCCGAGCGGTGCCGGGGCGGCGACGGCCGCACCTGAGGGGAGGCGCCGCGCGCCCAACGGCCGCGGGCCCCCTTAGGGCGAGTGTCGCGGCCCCTCGTGGAGCCGCCGCTCGGCGCGGAGGGACCCGAGTTCGAGACCCGGCGGCTCCGTTTCACCCCGGGCTTGGCGGCAGCCGAGTCAGCGCCAGCCTCGGTTGTCCCTCCCTGTTTGGGCTCTTGCACGCCCCGAGTGCAGCTTCCTGAGGGGAAAAAAAGCCATTCTGGCTTCTTGTGTGCTGTTTTTGCCACGGAAGTGGAGAAGGTGCCTTACCAGGTGACTGGGAGCTGAGGAGTGTCACAGGGGCTGGCTTGGAGGAGGACATGGATTAACAAGCAGTCCTTGCCCTAGGGGATTAATAATTTAGCCCTTAACTCTCTTTTTCCTCAAACTGCAGCCATTCCTCCTTGGGTTCACGGCAGAGAATTTCTCAATGAGAGCTCGCTTGTGCCACAAGTAAAGACACTGCTGCTGGTGGTTGCAACATGTTACCAGCAGCTGTTAGCCGTGGTTTTGATAACCCAAATGTCCTGGCACGTGGCAAACAGAAAGAGGTACTTGCAGAAGGGCAACTCTGGCCATAGCACAAACTGCTCTTTGGGAGAGCCTGTCTGTGACCATAGATCCTGCAAAAGGACCCGAGATCTATCTAGCCATCAAGTGACTTCTGGGCTGCTTCTGCATCAACAGATCTGTCCCTCCTTAAAATTCCTGTCTTGCAGGGAAAGAAACCTGAAGAGCCCCTGAGATTTGGAACTTTCACTTGAAGCTTAACTACAACTGAGATGAAGAAAATCAAATTATGCTTGTAGAGGAAAATCTGAAGTTGAATAGGTGTCAAGTTAAAGAGAAGATTCTTAGAAGTGAACAGACGAAAAAAACTACAGGCAAGGCTGCAGTGGAAGCAAGTTAACCAACTATGAAATTTCACAAAAGCAAAGACCTACCATGCTAGGAGCTCTCTTAGTTATTGGGCCTAACTCAGAACACATATTCAAATTGCATAAAATACTCCTGGCAAAACCTTTTCAAGAACTGAATGGGTATGCAACTGCCTTGGGGATGCTGACTTGGAGAAAAGAATCTCTTGTAAGGTGCTCCACAGCAAGACGTGTGAATAAACGTCTAGCATCTGTAACAACCCATGCAGATGCCCACCTCTGGTCCTGAATCACTGTATATAAGTGACTAAGCACCAGATCAATTAAACCTTTTAGCATTTCAGAGAAAGGCAGGTGTTCCTGTTATTAAACCTGCCATCCTAAAAATTCTGTAGGTCATCAAGTCCTGTTGTGTTACTGCAGTCAGCCACATCATAGAATCCTGCATGTAAACACAATCTCTTCTTAGAACTAGGTAAGTCACTGCCTACCCTGTTCCAGTGGAAATCCAGTTCCCCATCTTCTGATAATTATTTTCTGATTCTTAAAATTTAAATTTGGGTTCAGGTTTGCATTTATTAATGTTATTTTTTTCTTACATCACTGTTTTTTTTTCTTAGGTAATGCCCCTCTCTGGATTTTTCTTTCCTGCTCTGTGTCAAAAGAGCAACAGTATTTCATATGGACCCAAACATTAATAAACAGAGATCTAATGACACAGAGGTATTAGTCTTTCAAAAATCAGGTCTTTGTCTTAGTCAATATTTTACACCCATTCAGTGTTCAGGTTACATTAAAAAAATATAGTTTTCCTTCTCATCACTAAGTTACTGAAAAAAAAAAAAAAGAAATGAAAACAAAAAGTAACTAAACAGCAGCTGCAAGTGGTATCAAAAATCACTATCCCAAGATTAAAGTGCAGCTGTTAACCTTTCTGTGATTCTAATACCCTGTTGGGTTAACCTTCTGAAGCTACTTGCTGTTGGAAAAGTAGAGACAGATGAGTAAAAAATAGTATCTTCTGACAAATTAATGGTACAAAGGAGAAATAAACTAATCTTCTAGATTGAAAATACTGATTTATATCACAAAATGGGAAGTTATTTCTTTCCTCATTGCTTCAGTTATAACCGTTTGACTTGAACTTTATGAAAGATTTTGTTTTTAAAGATCAAAATTTTTTTTTTTTTCCTGTGGCGGAAAAAGAAATCCTATGCTGTGCTAAATGGAAATAAAACAGCAGGTACACTAATCTGAAATCTCTTTGAAGGCTCTGAAGATAGTTCACCGGCTTTGGAGAGGTTAAGTGGAAACATGTTTTGTTTTCAGAAATCTGAATGGATTTAAAAACACAAAAATCTTGCTAATTTTCATGTGACCAAAGTATCTCTCCCACAAGTACTTCTAATGTATCCTAGTATTTAATATTGTTTTTAAAAGCAAAAAAGGGCTGATGATGCCCATGTATTACTTGCAAGCGTTACAGTGTTACTCAGTAACACTGAGACTCAAAAAAAGCATATTTTCTCCAAATAAGGATTTATTTTTAAAGAAACATATAGAGGTAAGCCTTTAAAATGTTTTATCTTACCAAAAAAAAAATAGTCATTGAAGTTTAAATGTAAACACTAATTCTTTAACATCATGTCCTCCTAGTTTTATTCATGCTTCTATTATAAATCTCTTCTGAGGGGAAAAAACAGCACAAAGGAAACATTCCTGGTCAGCCTAAAACAGAGACCAATAGTTAAATTGTTACTGCCAAGGTTGTACGTTGCTAAGAATCTCAGACCTCAGCTCAATTCAACAATTACTGAAGAGATGAACGAATACACAGCTTTGATAAAACAGTTCCCTTAGTCCACTTACTATGTGTCAGACTGCCACAATGCTACAAACTAATTAAAATGTTACTGCCTACTGTGCAAGCAGACTGTGATTAAGAGAGCTGCTTGCAGTTACTCAAAACATACTAAATGCTGCACAGTCTCTTTCGTGTACTTCAAGATGGTCTAAGGTCTGGTCACGTATTCCTGAGAATTCTGATTATACATACAAATGTTCTCTCTTACTAAAATAAATGAAATATACCACATACAAAAATGTTATTTTTATTTTTCATATGAAAGCAAGAATTTTTCTAACAAACAAGTTACCTTTGTTAGACAGATCTGATGTTATTTCCTCAAAATATACATCCAGAAAGATGTAGGTAAGTCTATTTAAAAAGCCAGATGGATCAGGATATTTTATATGGCAACAAAACCAAGGTTTCCTTTTGCAGACAGTCCCAGTTAATTTTTAATTTTTCCTTTTTTTCCTTTTCATTGCCTTCCATTCACCTTCCTGTGTAGCAAGGCTACCAAGAAGCTCTTTCACTTTTCTCTTTCTGGCTGCATCTCTGTAAAACAAACAAACAAAAATCAACACATTTAAGCACTTCAAAAACACTGTATTGGGGAAAATAATTCTGAAATTTAAGTTCTTAAATTTCCCTCACATACACTTCAAGTATAAATGTTCGGGATATTCTTGGACTACAGAAACGAAACTGCAAAGTTGAAAGCACTTAAAAGGTCCTCTTGTGAAGTTATTTGTTTTCCTCAAATTGTCAAAATACATATTTTTAAAGCTTAGTATGACTGATCATCATTATTAATCTTTACATGGTGCAAGGAAATGAACAATAGAATAACTCCCAAACTGGTGCAGAGAAGACTACATCACCTCTCCATGATTTCTTCAAGTTGGAGTCTAGCCAGAAACTGGTTGTCTTTCCGAATCTCCCGAATCGCTCCTTTAAACTCCCGCTTATGCTTGTGAATCAACCGCTTTCTTTCTTGCTCTTTCTTGCTGCCTCCCAGCTTTCTTCCAAACTCTAAACTGAAATGAGAAAGTATTTGTGAGCACAAAACACTTTAACATTTAAACACTTTAACAAACACAACTTTTCATGCTCAATAGTTTTTGCGTGAATACTAACTCAGTATTTTACTTCCTACATACTATGTGGTCAGCTTGCAAAATAAGGGGCCACTGCAGGGCACATACTGGAAAACCAGAACTTCTAACCACATTTCATTATCATGTGGATGACAAGCAGATAACATTCTCCAGAAAACGGTTAAACTGCAAAACCCCAAATATAGCCTACATGTTTTTTGGAACAGACTAAGAAATTTAGAGCAGAAGAGTAAAATGTGAAATTGCCAATGCTAGTTGAAGATATGTCTGAAGGATTACAGTATTTTAAGTTTCTGCAGGTTTTCTCAGCAGAGGACTTTTATAGAAAAGGTCTGATTTGCCATTTCATCAATTCCCCTTGGGAGGAATAACTCCAGGCACCAGTACACGTTAGGGGTTGATCTACAGGAAAGCAGCTCCCCTCCGTGAAGAGGGATCTGGGAGTCCTGGTTGACAACATGTTAACCATCAGGTAGGAAAGTGCCCTCGTGGCCAAGAAGGCCAATGGGATCCTGGCTGCATGAGAAGGATGTCCTAGCAGATTGAGAAAGGGGATCCTGACCCTCTCCTCAGCTCTGGTGAGGCCGGATCTGGAGTACTGGGTGCACTTCTGGGCTCCCCAGGACAAGAGGGATGTGGAGCTGCTGGAGAGGGTCCAGTGGAGAGCAACAAAGACAGGGATCTGGAGCAGGGGCTGGAGCATCTATCTTATGAGGGAAGACTAAGTGAGCTGAGTCTGTTTAGTCTGGAGAAGAGAACACAGAGAGGAGATCTGATGAATACCTTTAAGTACCTGAGGGAGAATTTAGGGAGGAAGGGGCCAAGCTCTCCTCAGTGGTGGCCAGTGAGAGGAAAAGGAGCAATGGGTACAAGTTGAAACACAGGCAATTCCATCTGCA